TATTTGACAGGAACTCAGCCACATGCAGGAGGCCATGAGGAGTAAAACTCCAGTAACCATGGATGCCTTGGTGCACCAAACCGAGTCCCCATTTACTCCTAGGGTATTGCATTTTCCCTCTCACCAAAATTTAGAATGCCGCAGGTAGAAGCTTTTAACAGAACCAGAGACCCTATGGACCACCTGAATACTTATAAAAACTAGATGGAGTTGCAAGGGTATTAAGATCCTGTTCGTTGTCACACTTTCGCCATAACCCTAAAAGGATCAGACTTAGCATGGTTTAATAGGCTCCCCCCGGCCTCGATCTCCTCTTTTAAAGAACTCTCGATATCCTTTGTGTCTCATTTCATCGGAGCTCGGACATACAGAAAGCCAAGCTACCACTTGCTGAATGTGAAACAAGGACCTCAAGAAAACCTATGGTCCTATATTCAGAGATTTAACTCAGAATCCCTGAAGATAGATGTCCTAGACAAAAAATTTACAATTACTGCTTTCATAGCAGGATTGGGAGTACATTCAAAGGAATTGATGTTCTCCATATCCAAAAATCCTTAAGCAAGCATGACCAAGGTGTTGGCTAAAGCAGAGAAGTATATAAACGACAAGAAAGCTCTCCTCTCAAAGGTAGAGAGCTCATCTTTGTAGAAAGAAAAAGAGAAGGAGGAAAAGAAAATGGATCAAAATCCCAAGAAAGAAAGAGAAAGAAATAGGTCTCCAAGAAGAGACAGATCTCTCAGGAAAGATAGAGAACGTTCCCCAAAAAGGAGGGGAAATATCAGGGATCGTCTAGGTACCCCACAGCCTAAGTTACAGCTGAGGTATGCACCTCAGGAGTATGCTCCACTCACTGCCACAGTGTCCCAGATCCTGTATGAGTTGCAGAATAAAAATTTCTTAAGATGGCCTCCTCGAATGAAGGCAGATCCAGCGAAGAGGAATCCTACAAAGTACTACGAGTACCACAGAGACCACGGTCACCATACTGATGACTGCATCCAGCTGAAGAAACAAATTGAGTTCTTGATCCAAAGGGGGCAGTTACGTCATTTTATTGCCTATGATAATCAAAATAGCATTCCACTGCCCCTAGTACCTCAGCAACAAGCCCCTGTGCAGCATCAGTAACCCCTAGGAAAAATCAGAGTAATATTAGGGGGATGTGCAAGAGGAAGGCAATCTAACTCAGCTAGAAAAGCTCACTTGCGTAGAATCAGAACTAATGAAATGCTGGAAGTACATACTGTATCCAAGACTCCAGGTCTGGACATACCCATCATTTTCTCAGACTAAGATTTGGAAGGCTACCAACATCCTCATGATGATCCCTTAGTTGTAAGAGCGGTTGTTGCCAACAGAACTGTTCATCGAGTACTGATTGACAACGGGACCTTTGCAGACATCATCTTTGTGCCAGCGTTTGATAAGATAGAGATAGGCAGAGAAAGGCTCGAGCCAGTAACTACCCACCTGTTAGGATTCTCAGAAGAAAGGGTACTACCACTAGGGTCGATATAGCTCGTGCTCATAATTGGGGAGTTGATGCTCCTTCAGTGTATAACATGTTGCTTGGGAGACCTTCCCTCAACTCAATGAGGGTTATACATTCAGTTTACCACTTCGTTATGAAGTTTCCTATGAAAAATAGGGTTGGTATGGTTCGAGGAGACCAACGTGTGGCACGGGAGTGCTACATGGTGTCTGTCAAAAGGAAGGAGGTCAAAAATTTTCAACTGGACATGCTCGATATGAGGGACGAGCTGGACACTAGACCAACACCATCAAAAGAGCTGGAACCAGTCTAGCTTGATGAAGAACCAGAACATCTTGTCTACGTAGGATCGAAGCTGAACAGAGAAATTAAAGATCTTCTCATCCAATTCTTGAGGGAGAATATAGGAGTGTTTGCTTGGAAGCAAGAAGATATAACAAGAATCAACCCTTCAATCATCTTACACAAGTTCAGTGTGAACCCCCGCCAATAAACCCATTAAACAGAAGAGACGAAGTTTCATCCCCGAGTAGCAGAAGGTAATTAATGAGGAAGTAAACAAGCTTCTACATGCCAAAGTCATCAGAGAAGTAGATTATCTTGTCTGGTTAACTAACGTGGTCCTTGTTAAGAAGACCAACAGAAAATGGCATCTCTGCATCAGCTTTACTGACCTCAATTGTGCTTGCCCTAAGGACAGATTCCTTTTACCTCGGATAGACTTGATCGTAGATGCCACCACAGAGCACGAGCTCCTGAGCTTCATGGACGCCTTCTCTGGTTACAATCAGATCAGAATGGATCCCAACGACCAGGAGAAGACCTCCTTTGTGATGGAGCAAGGAACATACTGCTATCAAGTAATGCCTTTCGGACTGAAAAACGCAAGAGCCACTTACCAACGCTTGGTAAATTGAATGTTTCAGAAACAAATTGGGACGATAATGCAAGTATACATTGATGATATGTTGATAAAATCATTAAAGGCAGAGCTCCATGTTGAGCACCTAGTAAAGGAATTTCAGGTCCTTAAGGAATACAAAATGAAGCTCAACCTTGTTAAATGTGCTTTCGAAGTATCTGCAGGAAAGTTCTTCAGTTTCATAGTCAATAGCAGGGGGATTAAAGCTAATCTAGTTAAATTTAAAGCAGTAATGGATATGAAGCCGCTGTCCAACACCAAAGAAGTTTAGCGTTTGACAAGAAGAATAGTAGCCCTAAGCCATTTTGTATCTAGATCAAGCGACAAATGCCAACCGTTCTTTCAATTCTTAAAGAAAGCATTTCAATGGGATATCTAATGGGAGGAAGCGTTCAGAGCCATGAAGGACTATCTGAGCTCTCCCCCAGTTCTTGTTAGCCCCTTAGAAGGGGAAGTGTTTACCCTCTACTTAGTTGTCTCAGACTTCTCAACCAGCGCAGTACTAGTAAGGGAGTGAGACAGAGCTCAGCAACTAGTTTACTACTGTAGCAGAGCTCTGAGGGGGGCTGAAGAGATTTACCCAAAGATGAAAAAGCTTGTCTTGGCTTTAGTCACAACTACTAGAAGGCTCAGCCAATGAAGCAAGTGCTGCACAAGCCAGAGTTTTTGGGAAGGTTGGTTAAGTGGGCTATCGAGCTCAATGAGTTCGGTATCAGATACAAACCAAGAGTGGATATCAAAGGGCAGGTCCTAGCAGATTTTATAGTAGAATTCACAACAGAACAACCCATGGGAGTAGTGCAACTGCTACCTGACCTCCCTATATGGAGGCTTTCAATAGATGGGGCTGTCAATGCTCAGGGCAGAGGTGCTGGCTTAATCTTAACCTCCCCCAATGAGATAGATGTTGAATACGCTCTTAGGTTTGGATTCAAAGCTTCAAACAACGAAGAAGAGTACAAGGCCATTATAGTAGGGCTCAGCCTTTCACACTCGATGGAAACATAACAACTTGAGGTCTATAGTGACTCACAGCTTATGATCAAGCAGATAGAGGGGTCTTACAAGGCCAAAGCCGAAAAGATGGCTCTTTATCTTAGAAGGGTGCATGAACTAATCAAGAAGTTTGTGCAAGTTAAATTCAAACACGTCCCCAGGATAGAGAATTCACGAGCAGACGCGCTGGCAAGGTTAGCAACCGCTTTTTAGGAGAACTTGGACAAGTTGATTCCAGTGGAACACTTAGTAAAACCATCAATAAGAATTCTCGAAGAGGTGCTCCCAGTCACGAAATTAAAAAGTTGGATGGATCCCATTCGAGACTACCTGCAGAATGGAACCCTTCCAACAGACCCTAAGGAGGCAACAAAACTAAGGGTAAGGTCGGCCAGATTTTCCATCTTATAGGGTAGTCTGTATAAACGAGATTTTTTAAAACCTCTCCTCAAGTGTGTGGGGGACGAGGACACGAAACCTCTCCTCAAAGATGTCACAGATATGGTTAAGAAGTGTAGGGTCTGCCAATTGCATGTCAATATTTCACATTGCCTACTAGAGCTCCTAACAATGGTAGTAAGCCCTTGGTTATTCCAACAGTGGGGACTTAGATATTCTAGGGCCCCTCCCAATGAGTGTGGGACAGTGCAAGTTCATAATTATTGGAGTGGATTACTTCACTAAGTAGGCAAAAGTAGAGCCCTTGGCAACAATTACAAAGCAGAAAGTGTAGAACTTCGCCTGAAAGTCCATAGTCCGTAGATTCAAAATTCCTAGAACGATCGTCTCTGACATTGGAAGACAATTTGATAACCCAAAATTTAAAAGGTTTTGTGCCGAGCTTGGGATAATGAACTACTTCTCAGCTCCTACTTATCCTCAATCTAATGGGCAAGTGGAAGTCACCATTCGAACCATAAAGGCAGCCTTGAAAACTAAGCTAAAGGCCCTGAAAGGAAAGTGGGTGGAGTAGCTCCCCAAGGCATTATGGGCTTATAGAACTACAGCCAGGACAGCTACACAAGAAATACCATTTGCATTGGCTTTCGGCACCGAAGTTGTTGTCCCTGTTGAAATTGGGCTCCCATATCCCAGGGTTGAGTTCGCAGAACTAGAGCACAATGATGAGTCGCTTCTGCTCAATCTTGATCTTCTGAATGAAAGAAGGGATAGAGCTCAACAACATATAGAGAGTTATCAAAGGAAAATAACTAGGTATTATAACATAAAGGTAAGGCACAAGAGTTTTTTGACTAAACGCATTCCAAAACACGAGGTACTTTAAAAGTGTTTTTCCTTCATCTTAAGCCTCAAAAACTTCTTACAGTTACAATATTTCAAGGTGTAGTGTTCCAGTTTTGACGTAAGTTTTGAATGACTTGGACTTCACATGAAGTTTATAATATATATCGTTGATCGGTGGACACTGTTACTTTATTCTTTGATTTAAATTGATAAATGAAAATTAAAAGTAAAAGATAATTCAAAATAATTTACGTGTGATGCACGTGCACATTAAGTAGTTGCATTTCAAACAAGTATGTGTTGGTTTGAGAGAGAGAGAGAGAGAGAGAGAGAGAGAGAGAAATGATGTAGGGCTTGTGTGTATTTGAGAGAGAGAAGTGGTTGTCTGATCAAAGATTTGATGGATTGGTGGTGTAGAAGATGTGTTATAGTGGTATGATGGACATTGCAATGTGATGTAATTTGGATAATTGATTCAGGGATTCAATTCATTGTAAAGCACTTTTAATTCAGCAGTTATAACTAATTATGTCTCTAGATTAGGTCTCAAAATTGTAAGTATAAATAAAAATTTTCTTATAGATAGTTTGCTGGTAATTGTTTCTTGATTAAATATATGTGTATCGGGACATATTTATTAATTAACCGATGTCTTTGTTATTTCAAAAAATTTAAAGGATGTCCCCATAATTGAACATACTTACAAGGGTGTGCTCGAAATTGATTCAATTTTCAATGCATATATATATCTAGAGACTGCAAAGATTTTATACTAAAAATGTTTGCAATTTATCCACATGCAATAACCGAACAGGTAGTGATGGGAGATCAGAAAGGAATTGAATGAGGGGTGGAATTGCAATTTAGAATTTAGAAATAAGAAATTACACAGAGACCCCCTTTTATGCCCCTAGTTTCACATTACTCTTACACTATAGTTTTCTTACGCTGCCTTATTAACTATTCTTTGACATTCACATTGGCTCAACCAATAACATTTATTCATGTTTTTCATGACAAATTAGAGAAAAAATGGAATTCTTCTGAGCTAAAGAGAGAAAGAGCACATCTAACATGGTGGAATTCAAGTTTTACTTTGATTTGTTGTGAAAATTTGGAAAAAAGTTAACTATTGAAGTTGTATGAAACTCATGGTGACTTTGGTACTGTAAAAGGAAAAATTGAATGATGAAATGTGATAGTTAAACATCATTTTATTCTTCAAGGGAGGAATCCTTCCTTCTCTCCTTTGTGTTTGTTAGGAACGATGAAAAGTAGGAAGAATTAATATTTTTGTGTTTGTAAGATGAAAAAGTGGAAAGATAGAAAAAGAATAGGTGCATATTTTTCTATTATATCCATATATAAAATTAATGTGTATCTAATAACTTTCTATCCTTTCATTTTTTGTATCATACCAAATAAAGCATCAAACCATTAGTATAAGGTGTAATGTGAGAAATTGGATAGTTTACGAGTATATTTCAAGGGGTCTAATTGTAATTTTTCCATTTAGAAATATATTTTGACATTTTTTATTATTTTGAATTTATTTGATTTTATTTCTTAATTTTTGATTTTCCACTTATTTTGGAGTAGAGTTATATTATGAATATTTGATTTTCGGATTTTGGCATTTACCTATATTAAGGGAATAATAACTTTTGGGCAAACTTTGATTGATTATATTATGGGATATTGATTTTTCTTCTCAACTCACTTGCTCTTCTCTAAATTCTTCTTAATTTTTATAATTTCTACTCAATTTGCTTATTATCTTCCAATTTCTACCTGGTCTACATCAGGTAGTACCAGTAATGGTTCAACTATATTGCTGAAAAATATTTTATCAAGCAACTTCCTTGGTTTAAATGGTGATATTAGATTTCATGGAGGAGAGCTAGCAAGGTCTATAAAAATCGGATTAGCAAGGTCTTAAGTGAGCTCCACGAGGATGGTCCATGCCTAGTGATGCAAAGCCTATAAAAATCGGAGTTCTTGGAAAAAACTACTTTCCAGTAATTTGTGTAAAGTGGATTGGAATTCAAGTTTGAATGAATGGAGTTTTTTTGGTTTCTACATTGATGTCTTATATGAGAGGCAGAAAATTTTAGAGCATAGTTATCCCCAACCTCGTGAATTTGTACCATATATTGGCTCCTACAATGACCTAGTTGATCATGTGGCTAACAAGGTACATAATAACTCTATACTTGACCTCTTTTTTTTGTTGTCTTCCTATATATCATTAATTATCCTATGAACAACTAAAGCATATTACTGTAATAACGGCCTCGTACAATGCACAGAATTTGCATTCCTCTCACCCCAACCTCTATCCATAATCCTACCCCTTTCCTATATTGTTAAAATCTATCCATCAGTATTGAATTTCAGAAAGGATAACAGAATAACAAGTAGTTGGTGTGATATATTTGAATTGTCTAGATGTTGGATGTTGATTGGAATAGAATTTATTTTATAATTCCATAAGTCAAAAATACGAAAACTAAGTGAATGGAGATGAAAGGTTTCTCAAACACTTTTTGTTCAATTTGATTGTTATCTATGTACTAGCGGCAAAGACGTGTGATGCTTGTGTTTTGCAGTCCTTCCTTACCCCCACCTATACTAGCATCCTATGATGCCCACACACCCCACCCCCCTAACCATGTCTGTGCTTACCTGTTATGGATGCTTTATGCACTTTGATATAAAAACAAGATGAATTCTAATTAAAAATGTCTTGAGTCTTGGCCAATCAATCGGGCACCCAAAGCCTATGAACAAGGTTCTTTGGGTTCAACAAGTAGCACCACTGAGCAAAATTTTTGGGCCTTATTTCAAGAATCTGACCCAAATAGAAGATTAATGTTTCTTTTGAGTTATGATCTCGTCAGAATTTGTTGTATGAATCTGTTGTATGTATTCAATTGCTTTATCAAACACTTGTGGTGGTCATATATCACAGGGAAAAAGGTTCACAACTGTTACACCTGAGTAGTGGTGGTGGTGTGGCTCACAGTTCAACGCCTTGAACCAAACATAACAGACATAGTGTGGCTGAAAATGAACAATACATCAGTAGGCTGTAGAACCAATTCATTTATAAAACTATATCTACAGAATGTGCTTCACTTTGATCATGCAAACATCAAAAACATCAGCAGCGAAGACGACTATCCGAGCGAATTAAAGAGTGGCAATATCACTGCAGCATTCCCTGAACTCCCTTATTCAAAGGCTTTTATGAATCAGTTTTGTGAGGGGTATACTGTTGCCACACTCCCAGATGGAGTTGTTCACAGATTTGGAGGCTTTGGATTTGTGAGTAGTAACTGCGGGCTTGGCATGGTGTTAGAGTATGTGTGGCTCATATTTTGCTATGTGCATAATGGCAAGGAGGCAGATGCCGGAGCGTAGCGGAGCGGAGCTCGCGACGGCATCTGCCTTGTGGGATTTATATATAGGGGACGCTGATAAGTTGGGGGTGCGGGGCAACGCCCCCGCGGTACGGTACAGGGGTATTTTTGTAAATACGTCCATATTAGGGTTATATAAATACTTAAGATGTAACCCTACTTCAATAAGGAAAAGAACAGCCGCTCGCTCTCGTGGATGTAGACATATTGCCGAACCACGTAAATCTCTGTGTGTTATTTTCTCCTGCTTTCTTAATTGTTTGATTCCTTACTATTCACCATAATTGTTGCACGATCACAACAATTGGTATCAGAGCTAGACTACGATGTCTGGGATTTCCTCTACAAAATTCGACATCATGAAGTTCGACGGAACTGAGAATTTCGGATTATGGCAGAGGAGGGTGAAGGACCTGTTAGTGCAGCAGGGCATGGTGAAGGCATTATACGGAAAAACAACCGGTAAGAATGGACGACATGGATTGGAAAGAATTGGAAGCGAAGGCTGTGGCGACTATTAGGCTTTGTCTGGCTGATGAAGTGATGTATCACGTCATGGATGAGGAATCACCGGCGGAAGTTTGGTTGAAACTGGAAAGTCGGTATATGTCCAAGTCGTTGACGAACAAGCTCTATCTTAAGCAGAAACTATATGGTCTTAAGATGTCAGAGGGCTCGGATTTGACCCAACACATCAACGTGTTCAATCAGATCATCAGCGATCTGAAGCGAGTTGATGTGAAGTTCGAAGACGAAGACAAGGCGCTGATGTTGCTGAATTCCTTACCGGCGTCTCCTACGTACGAGAATTTGGTTACGACTCTGATGTGGGGGAAAGAAACCCTCGAATTGGAGGA